GGATTTGTTATTTCCGAATTTTATAATGTGATTGGCATTAAAAACACGCTCACCTTCAACGAAATTTCCTTTCCGAGGCTTTGTGTCAGCCCAATCACATATTGTGTCAATACTTATCATTTTATCGTAATTTAAAAACTTGGAAATTGCACGGTACATTATAGGAACTACGATAAATTTTCCCTAATCGGCGCCATGTTTTTAGGCTCCTCCCATTTGACGGATCCCAATAAACTACCTTAGGTTAATGAGAGAAAATTTGTTGCTGTTGTCACACCCTCGCCGGGAATCGAACTCGGGACCTTTGGCTTAACGCACGAATACTCTGACCACTAATTGACGTGAGGTAATTTATAGTGAGCAAACAATTGAAAATGAATTTCCACATTAATATTTGATTTTAACCACTATTAAATGTCAACGCGTTTCATATATCTATTACTAATATAATTAGTTCGACAGATCTATTACCTAATAAGTACGGTTTGTTGTTGTTGCTGTTGTTGTACGTAAAGCCAAAGGTCCCGGGTTCGATTCCCGGCGAGGGTAGGGTGTGACAACAGCAATAAATTTTCACCCTATTGACCTGATGTAGTTTATAGTGGGTAAAAAATTGAAGATGAATTTTCACATTAATATTTAAAAATGAAATACCCTATTACTGTGTTTTCCAAATCCTGCAATCGGTAAGATATTTGGAACTATGGTATAAAACCTCAAGCCTTGGTACCAGTCCGGAAAATCCGGACAATGGTTCTGAAATCGAAATAATGTTTCTTCACAGTAATTTTTCATTGGAAACAGTATCAGTGTTAATCTTCAATGTCTTGACCGTTAAGTTTCAAATTAATGGTTTTTGTTTCCAGGGTGCCTGTCAAAACTGATAAACTAATGTTTTATATGTGATGTTTCGTTTATTTAATCATCATTAGATCTTTTGAATTTTTATCATTTTTGGCCGCCCCCTTGAAAAAAAGGTTCTTTGCAAACTAAAAATTTTTCTGAATGAAAAAGAAGAAAACGAATGATAATATTCATAAAAATAACAAAATTATGCAGATAATTATGACTAAATTAAATTTTATAATTCTTTTGGGTATTTACGGAGTTTAGATCTTCGTAGGGTCGACTGATTATATTGTTTTCATAACTTGACTATACACAAATTTCGGGACTATTTGTGAAACCTGGGACCGTATTGTTTGGATAATTTCAGGATAATCCCTTGAACTTAAATTTCCGTTTCCTATATAGTATATATTTGTAAATGGAGGCATAAATTCATCTAATGATGTAGGGTCTGCAATTTACTGCAAACTATATACAAATTTTCTTAGTTTTGCTACAAAGTTAACTATAAATTGTAATACATACTTATGACAGAAAATTAATCGTAAAGTTTGTTTAGGTCTATATGTTTTACTAAGCAAAAGAAGAACATGAGCCACGACCATGACAACACTTGGTATTAACCAAAAAAATGCTTTTATTTGGTTGCTTCGGATCATCTAACAACTGTTATTAAGCTGGATCATCGGTTCGTACAGGGAACTAAAGTTGTAAATCGTCTATGTTTCGTATACAAATTCATGTCTCTAGTCAGCGATCATCAATATGTATAGGAATCGGAAATCTTCTCTGGGAAGATAAAATATTGGGACTTGAAACCCTATACAATTTTACTTACCCATTTTATCGTTGATTCGCTGGTCTACATAAATGACAAAGTAAAGACTTAGTTCGTTTCTAGAAATTGAAATGTTCTAAATGTTAATTTGGGTAGGTTAAACAGAAGGATTCTTTAAAATTAAATTTAAAGGACACCTTTGCTATTTTAATTTACAGAAAGCAAATTCAAATTTTATTGTTAGTAAGTTTTATGTACGTATTAGTAATTAATTTCAATCACACGTGATAACTAATATGTGTTAAACTAGATCATCATCATCATAAGGTCATCAGTCCTAAGACTGGTTGGACACGTACCTCCACTCTTTCCTATCCTGAGCTAAACCTCGCATTTCCCTAAAACTAGATAAGAAAAAAAAAATGAAATTGGATATTTCGATCATACTTCGGCGAAATTAATTAAAAAAGGTACGATTGAAATTACTGATCTTTTATTCATCCTAAAGAAGAGTCTGTTATTTGTCTCTAGTTCATTTTTATATACATACATATAAAATAACAGATCTAATGTAGCTCAGGAAATGTCGAAGTTCAACTCTCATAGCCACAAGACAAAAACGGATTCTGTACGAGGATTTCCAGATATCTTGAATAGATGTACCAGAAATAGCCTTATGGTTTACAGCCATCTTTTATTAATAAGACAAGCACCTACTTCATTCTTAGAAGCTCTCAATTGCATGAATAAAATGAGTTTTTATGTCGAAAGATAATAATGAATAATCCATAAGTAGATAAGCGTCTAGTAAGGCGGAGTTACAGATTACATTAAATAAAATGGAAGCGGTATTGATAAAACAGTATTGTATGAAAATAAATAAAATTAAAACAAAAGTACTGGTATGCAGAGGAAGAAAATGTGGGAAAAGAGCGAATATAAAATAGGAGACGATTGTCGATGTCTAGAAAGCCATATAACTCAGGATGGAAGGAGCGGTAGAGATATAAGATAACTGAGGACAGCGTAGAGTCGAGTCGCCTTCAACAAAAAAGAAGTCACATCTACACTAGCGAATTGTTAATTTACGGGTGCGAAGCATGGAAGAAAAGAAAAGGATAGAAACTTTAAGAAATGGACGAGGTAGATCGGTAGGTAGGACATCTTCTCAGGGCAAGAGTTGAATGGAGTACAGATAGACCTAGTTTAGTTGACTGTTCAGTTAAGGATGTGGAATGCTCTAGTTTTAGGGAAATGCGAAGATTAGCTCAGGATAGGAAAGAGTGGAGATGCATGTACAACCAGTCTTTTAGGACTAACAACCTTATAATGATGGTGTTCTTTGGTCTTATGTCCAGTGGCGGATTTGCAGTCCTAGCCGCTCTAGGCCCCAGGTCATGTGCCACCCCTTTCTCAGCACCCATCATTATAGACTAGATACATAATTCATGAATTTATTTTATTCCCACTTTTAATTGATTCAGAAAATTGTTTAACTAAAAGCTAGCTTATAAAGCTAGTTTATAATATTTTCCGAGGTTTCAGGGATGTATTGACTTATTTGTATTTTGATACGCAAAAATAGTGATTTAGGAAGATTATAATCATACGGTACGCGAACCTTTCAAATATTAAGATACTTTGCAATTGAGCTATTTCTTGTTAATATTGTTATCATCAGTAACTTTTTTGGCAATATTTGCCGCCCTTAATATCTGGCCGCCCTAGGCCCGGGTCTACTGGGCCTTAGGGCAAATCCCCCAATGCTTATGTCTGGATAACACATGAGTGAAATATAGAGACAAACCATTTTTTTTGTTTTTCGATAGTTTTTACGTCTTTCAAGTACTTTGTACTATTTTGTTTACTATAACGTCCATTTATGCGTTAGAGGAAGGGTCAATTTATGTATTGTAGGAAGGGTATGTTCTCGAGTTTTCATAACTCTCACAGCTATCGATACTATTTTCTTTAAATGTAATGACAAGCCCGCATGTGTGACAGAAAATTTCATTATTTGAGATAGTTATTGTGTTGGTAAATGGAAAAGTTTGTGGTTAGAAGAATTATTTAAAGAAACGTAACTATCTGATTAAATGAGGAAGACCAAACCCAAGAACAAGATCAAATAGGCAAAACCAAGACCAATACTAAGGCTGGGACAGTCTTGGTCTTGTTTATCGTTAATATGCGACATCTACGGCTATATCTTTCGCTTGCGTTGACTTAGAACTTTGATTGTTTTACAGTTCTCTTGCCCTGAGAAGGTGCAGGTGCGTGACCAGCCAGTCTTAGGACTGTCGATCTTACGATGATGATGGTGTAAGTACTATAGGTACATAATTATAATGGAAAATAATAAATACATCATAATTAATCGCAAATCCTTTATTAATATCAAGTATGCGACGGACGGGGACGCATGCGTTTGCGAGCGCTCATGCACCGCGTAGAGCTTACATTATAAGACCACAAGCAAAGGGTAGCTCTCATTCAAACTTCTACCCCGTAACAGGTTCGAAACCGAATTGTCCTGCGCAAAAATCGTCCGATACAAACTCGCCAACTGATTACGGAACTTGAAATGCGTGCGTTCTCAAGAAGTGACCCGAGGAACTAACTAATTTATTACGTATTATTCATAAAACGTAATCCGTATACGTCATAAGATCAAGTTTTACGTATGCACTGTACGTAATTCGTGCGAGGATAAAAAGTTGAAAAGACTTTTCAGAAAACATGTGAATTTTTCGGTGTTTAAAACGGATGTTATTTCGCAAGGAGATAACGATGAAAATTCTTTTGGTGTTTGCGTTATGTGTTCCTGTTTTTTGCTCGAGTGCATCTGTACCAGCTTGTGTTTGTGACAGGAGGGATTGTGAAGAAGTAGGAGCCAGCGAATGTCCGGGATTGGGAATTTTAGTATGGGATCCTTGCGGGTAAGTTCAACTTTTACTGAAGATAATGGATAACTGGTTTTCGAGTGTCTTCAGTCAAAAGTTTCCGTATTTTGTTAACGTTCTCTTCTTGATTTTACTTTTTTATTTAGATATATATTTCTAATTTGTATGCCAGTATTACTCATTGTGGTTTGCGACAAATCCTTAAGTAGCTTGTTAATTGACTAATAAACTAATAAATCATTAAAGTGTTCTCTTCAGTGGAGGTATGAATTAAGGAAAACAAATAGAATATCTAAATAGGAATAATTTCATGTATTTTTATGATTTCTACTTAATAATTACATAACGTATCAAGAATTTGTTCAACTGTGAAAATGGATACTTTATTGATGTTTTTCTGCAATACCTACAGCTAGTTTTTGATCATACATTATCTCCATGAGTAGGTGATGTTTATGTGATTTTATGTTAATTATGTTCAAAATTCTTCTTTCTTATTAACAGGTAATAAAAACCTTCTTAAAAATAGGGACTTTTTATAGAGATTTTCAGAAAAGGCAATAAAAAGAAATTGGCAACATTTCGTAATAATAATAATTTCGGGATACATACATATGTTTATAAAGAAAAAAGAGATTTAGAAGTCACGTTTATCATTTTTTAACCTACTTTTGAAGTATTTCTAACATGAGACATTTATAAATTCACCCTGTTGATAATGCAGATTGTAACAGGCATTTACTACGATAATAAATTTTGAATAAAATAGGAAATTATGTAATACGATTTGATTCAGGCAAATCAGATCTGAACCTGATCGGACACAGCCTATTAGGGTAAAGTCAGGCATACCACATCAGGGCAGATAGGCTAAAATAGAGAATTCCATAGTAGGGCTTGAATCAGCCAATTCAAATCAGGACCTGATCAAGCACAGCCTAGTAAGTATTTTTATATTAGTACTGGATTAGAACCACATTTAAGTGTCCTAATAAAATACGCCCTAGTAAACCTGATCCCTATGAAATTTCTACTCGGGTTATTTTACTGTGTGTTCATATCACCTATGTTATGCTACGAATTTATATCGCCTGACATTAACAGATAGACTCACTTTCTTAGGATACTAGTTACATTTTTCTGTAATCGTTACCGAACATTCCGGACATTTCTCGTAAGATTTTCTCATTGGTACATAAAGTCTTCGTGTGTGTTACCGCGTATAATTTATAACCCTGGACCGTAGGCCATTAAATGACTATCAATTGGCGCCTTAGTCGTGCATGTATAGTATACTTCATTTACTTTCTCTAACGATGTGCCCTTCCACTGTCTTGGATGCGCGCTGGCAAAATCGTAGGTAGGGAGAAAAAAGCTCATTCTACTCCCGACTCTTGTTCATTAAACATAATTTTTCATACAGTACCTCCCAAAAAATTTGTTCAATCACTAATAGTAGTGCGAGTCGAAAACAAGCGTTAAAGCCTTTAATATGTCTTCAAATATTAATAAACATCTCGTTGATATTTTCAGTAGTAATTGGTACCAATAACAGCACATTTGAGCAATGCAATTGTAGTGGATAAAATGGTCAATTTTTCCGTGCAGTACTGTACGGATTCTACGCCCCTCACCGGTTAAGAGTTTGACCGAGAGTTATCTCCTTCCTTTTCTGACCTAGTGCTGTTCTTTTCTACTTTGCGCCGGTCAAACTGAAGGTCACATCGCTACAGAAAGTAAACGAAGTATATTAATGTATGTACCTATAGCAGTTACTCATTCATTACGGCTATCAGTTGTAATGATCGACGTATTGTATTGCGCTATTAAAAGTATCATTAGATATTTTCTACGAAACTCGTGTGAGTACCTACCTACCTTTGTATTAATTTGAAAGATTATATTTTTCTTTTGTAATCAAAGTAGGTCAGGGAAAAAGATCTATATTTTAACACCGCTTTTGTTGTATGCGGTTTAATTTACATCAAAAGCATTCGAAGTTTGTTAAAGTTTGGCACTTTTTCAGTTGGATCATTTATCAGTTCGTTTTTAAGGAACATTCGTTTTTTTTTTTAATTTTACTTTACCTACCACCGAAATTGAAAAATTCATTCAAACAACGTTCAATCGATTAATAAATGAAAGTACTTTATTAACAACAATCCTCGTTTGATTCAAAAAATAAAAAAGGAGACGGTATAAAGTTTTTACTGCTCTAGAATTTATGCTATCATTCGGGACACAGTATCGAAATATAATTATTGCGACTCCAACATGGAAAAGATGAATTTTAGGTGGCAGCGTCTGGTAGAAAGTCTAAAGTCCAAATTTCTTGCAACATTTTATGGAATTTAAAATTTTTTAACAAAGTTCATATGGATATCGACTTGCCAAACTGAATTCACGGCGTACGTGGTTCTACGTGTAGGCACGCAACCAGAGCAAGAAGTTCATGGTGGTCAGAATTCTGTTGAAACTGTCATTGAATCTCCCCAGTGCGCCGTAGACAGAGCAAGAAGTTCATGGTGGTCAGAATTCTGTTGAAACTGTCATTGAATCTCCCCAGTGCGCCGTAGACAGAGCAAGAAGTTCATGGTGGTCAGAATTCTGTTGAAACTGTCATTGAATCTCCCCGGTGTGCCGTAGACAGTTTTGATAAAATACAGACTCAGTCTCTCTGCTGTCTTAAGGCCCCATGTCAGTCGTTTCTAGACAAATGAGATTTTTTAAATCTTATTAAATAGATTACTCTTGATGTATACAAGTTAGAGGAATGGTCGAAGTTTCAAATCAAAGTTCTTATTATTATCTACACAAGTACGAAGCGCTTTTTTGAATGCACTTTTCGTTTTTGTTTTATTAAAAAAAAAAGCTTAAACTTTTTAAATAAATTCCAGCCACACAGTAGAGTTAGAATCTGCGCTTCGGTTAGTTTAGGACGTTCTTAAGAAAAGTACGAAGCCCGATTATTTTTAGATGTTAAACAAACAGAAATATTTTGATTTATTTAGGAACTGCTTGATCCAGAAAAATTAAGATAGTCAACTAATGTCACTCTTATTAGGGTGATTTATTAAGTGCCATTAAGCAACCACTACATTTTGGTTTGTTATACCTGCCCTAAACAATCATTTTCAGTATCTCTCTCTAATACTTAGGTAGGTACGTTTTTTTATATCTTCTAAGCACAAATTCTTCTATTTAACGACACAATAATTGCCTTAATAGCTTGTAATGACTCTTAAAGAAAAGTGTCTATAGATATGAGGGTTATGAAAACTCGAGAACTTATCCTTCTTTCAAAATATAAATTGACCTTTCAGGGAATAAAATAGTACAAGGTACTTGAAAGAAGTAAAACATCATCATCATCATCATAAGGTCGTCAGTCCTAAGACTGGTTTAACACGTACCTCCTCTTTCCTAATATCCTGAGCTAAACTTCGCATTTCCCTAAAACTACAACAACCCACGTCCTTAACTATTTGCGAACAGAAATCTAATCTAGGTCTCAGAGTCTTTCAGGGTCTCGGAGAGCGTCTCTCACAGTCTTTCACAGTCTCTCAGTTATTTTGCCTAGGTTTTTTTTATGGATCTCTCACAATTTCTGTATGGGAGACTCGAACGATAAAATTGTTAATTCAGAGATTCGAGTCTCTCACAGGGAGACTGAATGAATAAAACTGACAAATTGAGAGACTCGAGTCTCTCGTAGAAAGACTGGGATCTTTGAAATATGTTGAAAATTTTAACCATGTCTATCGAGACACCACTTATTGAGAGATTCGAGTCTCTCGTTCAGAGACTGGATACGAAAAGGGGATCTCTCTATGAGCGTCCCGAGTCTCTCGTTCAGAGATGCTAAACGGTTTTTTTGACAGTCTCTCTCAGCGACACCAGAGAGACTTGTTGAGAGACGGAGACTCGAGTACCGCTTTCAGAGACTGAGAGACTGAACATTTTTATCTCGGGTGTGCATAGAAATAACAGTGCATATTGTGGGTACCTTCAACCTATTATGTGGGACGCTTTTTACAAACCATCGATTTACCGGAAATTTTATTTACGGGTTTTTTTTCAATATTTTGGGAAATAGATGTAACCGAAAATTTGAGAATTTGGTGATTTTTGACTTGAAGACTAATTTTCAAAAATTCATAACTACTGCTGTATTTGAACTAGAAGCTTTTTTTGCATTCTAATGCTAAAAAAATAATTTTAATAACAAAATTGTAAACCCAAATTAAAAAATGTTCATGAGGCATGAAGGTATCAACTTGATTGACTATAATCTTCATAAAATAAAAATGTTAGAACACAGCGCGGCTAGATTTTGTGCTGACTTTTCGTCAGGCAAAAGGGTAAACAACATTGCCATCAATTTATTTTTTCAACGTGTTGTAACAATGAAGGAAATCCAGAACGTTTAGGAGGATTAACCATGATAGAATACGCAATTATTTGTGCTACGGTTCAACTGGTCTCAGAACTATTTAGTAGATAGGTACTAATTTATTCCTTTGTCTTAAAGTAATAAAGTTAAAAGTACCACACAGAAAATGTTTTTATTGCTTTACCTTATAGTGAAAGTTCTCTAGGGTTTTGTAGTAATAATAATTTAAATTTTGTGAATGAAACTGTATTTTGCAAACCGAGTATATTTTCAATTTGGCTGTAATTTTATTGACGGGTTCGAGAATTTTTATATTNAAGTATCATACTGTTGCGTTGCCTTATTAATATTGTGGTTTGTTTTCCTCTTATTACGATGTACATTTTCATCTTTAAAAAAAAATAGCGAATTTTGTGATTCCCCTAAGTCATTCTTGTTCCTGGAAACGAAGCCAAAATTGTTTCTTCGAGGTTTAATACGATCATTGTTATCATTTAGGTTCGCAACTGTGGCCTGCTGAGGACCTACCCTTTACCGTAAACTAAAAAACACCTATTTATTATTATATGTAAAAGAAATTATGAGTGCTGTTAGCACAGGGCGAAGTAGTATTACGTAGTTAGTATCAGCAATTTCTTATTCT